ATTTTCTGTGGTCAGATGCCATTAAACTTTATGTGATTCAGTGTGCAATGGTAATAATCGTACAAAAGTTATGTTTACGTTGTACGTAGGATTTTACCAACACCATTTATTTTATTTGCCATTTTATTTTACTGAATAACTATCAACTAAGTTACAGATACGATTAAATTGGTTCTTTCAATTCGCCCAACCAGATAGCAACATGCAAGCTTCTATATTCATGGTTTAAATTTTCACCGCATTGTCGATGGTAATGCGTTTCGAATTTCGATCACGTTGCTGCTACGATTAATTATCAAACCAACTCATGAATTTGTGGGTGGGAGACCCACTTAATTTAACATTTTTATCACTGATTATTTTTAGCTTCCTCATCCACACGCAAGTCTCAAGTTTATTGCTGCTCCTCATATTTTTCTGGGAAGATGGAAAATATATCGGAATGGAAGTATTCTTTGTTGAGTTTTGTGTACTTCACGTTGGCAAACAACCGGGAAATTTTTTTGTCATTAGCTGTCTCGTAGGAGCTTGCTGGCAACTGGCTTTACATAACTTGTAAGGCTCCATGTGATCAGTCACTAGGTCATTTGTGGTGCCGTGCATCTTGCTTAATGAGTCTCGACCGCGGTCGCGTACTGAAGCCTAACAATTTCTCGGTTGAACGCATGTTTTACTCCTGCTGCCATGAATGTGTTGTTCAGATGGCTTACAGTTCCGTTAACTTCATTTTTGTAGATTATGTGAAGCCTGCAACTACTGTGATTTTCTTCTCACATGTCTTTTGAAATAGATATTGCATTGATGAGTGATATATTTTTTCACCGTTTAATGAATTATAAATTATTGAATGCTTTATAATAATATTTTTTGTTAGTAGAACTAAAATGAATGATTTAATGAAACCTTAGTGATAACCACACACTCCTGTACCAGCTTGTCTGTGTTTCGTCAGCTTATCTGCATCGTGCAGACAGAGCTCCCTCTAATAAATTAACGCGCTTATCAAATTATGTTGACATTTCTACTATGGCGGAAGTTGCCCCGCTGCACAACGAGCTGTCAGAGCGAGGGAGGTAGAGACCAGAGCGACTGACAGGCAGGAAAGGAGGGAGGTTCGAACAAAAGAAAACTAATGGATGGAAGGACAGTTGCATCAGAAGCAAAAGTCCCTAGAGGGAGACTTTGACAGACCCTTCGTGACACGGCCGCCCTGGAGTGCCGTATGGCTGCGTGTCTCTGCCCACGCCCTCGCGCCACTCAAAACGAATTACGGGAAAATCTATCATCACGTACAAAATGAAAATAAACGCGTATGTTAGTGATTTGGACTTGAAATTTTCTAGATTATTATATTACGATAATAAATATGTTGTCATTTGAAGACGATGTGCACTTGAAAAATATATTAAAATAGGCATCGCTATATCCACTCACAGGATTTAGGCATGAAATTGTAAAAGCATCACGATATGGAGACTTGCTCTAATTTATCTTGGCTTGCATGATTGCATATATTTTCAGACAACAAGTATACAATTTGAAGGCTTATGTGTATACATACAACTCAGTGGTCAGTTCTGAGACCGCAGTTGAAATGATGTGCGGCGAGCGTTATCACTTCAAGGGGTGATAACGCAAGTGTAGCGGCAGTCTTCTTCCTGCGACAAATTATACCACTTGCCATCATATTTCCTAGTTTTAGGCCTAACTTGAAACTTGTATTCCTCTTATTATGTTGAGCATTGCATGCATTACGTCAAAATTTGCAAACTTCTAAGTTAATTCGCTATGGTCCATATTACTATTGATGACTCACGCTTCTTATACGAGAGAAATAATATGCTGGGTACAATCCATGGTGCTGTAAACTGATACATGTTTATGTGAAGAGACCCAGATTTTTTGGCTCTCAATCCTCAATCAGGCTTACGGTGCGTTTAAACTGCACTGTTCAGAGAAGTGAATATGCTACGTTCCTTCAATGAATATCCGTAATGTTCTTTCATATTATATGCGGTCATTTAATGATTGATTACCATGAATAATCATTGTACTTGATTTTTACTACATTTTTACGTACCAGGAGGCAGGAAATTTTGTAAGTTATATGATCACTTGTAGTGCAGAGACTTGCCCTGAAAATCTCAATAATATGCCACGTAAGACAAGCACAACAACCTTCTGAAAATCCAGCGATGTTATATACATGCAAGAAACTTACAATCTAGTTCAGTCTTTCCATGCTCAAAAATAACTCACTTTCTCTATAAATAAACAAGTAAAAATTTGCAAGATTCTTCGTTAGACTTGAGGACCACGTTATCTCAATAAAAGCTCTTAGTGTTGCGGGGGCCTAGCTCATGAAATTCGCTCTCCACCCCAGTTAAAATTTTGAGCCGAGACCGGCGCCGGGTTTAGCCGGGCTGGTCGCGCTTTAGCAGGATGGAGCCGTGAAACAATAACCGGCCATCTATCCCTAAAACTGCGCTGCGCCATGGCTGATATAGAGACAAAATTCTAGCAGCTCGGCAGGGCCGGAACTCTGCGCTGTTTTAGCGCTGGTACTTGGGATTGTCCGGCAGGGAGCTGTGCAGAGCAGCTAGCAGGCCGTGTGGGGGGGTTTTGAGAGAGGGAGGAGAGGTAGGGGGTGGAAACAGTGACGAGAGAATGAACTTCATCCTCCATCTAGTTCATTCGCATAGCACGATATTTTGGGCCAATTTCCGGTGCCATTTGTGATATTTATTTCACGTCAGTATTTTAATACTTCGAATTACGTAAGAATTTTATATGCTCTTCCAGTTTTAACACTCTAAAGCCCCGTCCACACGCTCAAACTTATCGTCAGTCTTGCATGTCATGCCAAGTTTGACGACAAGACGTGATCATACGAATGGCTACTTTGTTGATTTTTTTAAAATTAGTGCATTATGAATAATATCTATCAAGTTCAACCACAAATATAGCTATTCCCCGATCATGGCGAGTCATTTGTTCCGTATTATAGTTAAGTAGTTCATAGAGCCTAAGTTGGTAAGGTGTCCGCGCGGTCAACTGGTACAGGCTTGAACTACGACGCGGAGAACCTGCGCTCGAATCCCGGAGCTTCAGTCGACGTTTTCAGATAGTTCATAGCGGTGAGTACTTTGATGTATATATTTCCTCGATAATTGAATATGTTCGATTCTAAATTACGTTGCTAATGTCAATACGATGAGAATGTCAGTAACCCATGTCAATACAACCTGTCACTGCAAGAGAGAAGTCTAGGTGAGCTCAGAGAGAGAAGGAACAAATTTTTTCAAATCGTTGTTGACAAACGGTGACGCGTAACTGCCGCGTACACTGCCAGAGCCGCCCCAGAGCAGGCGTTGGGCAGGTTTGAGCAGGCGGTGCTCACTAAGGGCTGCATGACGGCAGGACAGAGCACACCTGGGCAGGTACTCAGAAGCTAATTAGCGCTGATACGCGGCTGGCGATATCGTCTCTAAAGCGGACATTTCTGCTCTATCGCTGCTCTGTCGCGTCTCTACGCCGGCTCTGCAGCCGGCGACGGCCTGCTCTATTCCCTGCCCTAAATTTTAACTGGGACAACCCATACAGGGTAGGGCGACCGGGCTGCCGACGCTATACATATGCCCTCGCCACGACAGGCCACTTTACTCCCGGTGTTTCCGACATGGCCGCGCGAGAATTGGCCGCGCCAGGCCAACTTGTGCCTCCAACGGAAGCTTTTCGTCAGGCACTCCTTAATTGGGCTCCGCGATAACGAACAATCGCGGGAATTCAGCTTAACTTACGAGTTACTTGGTCGACCTTGCCTGCCTTAGTCGCGACCGCTGCATGCCGAGGAAATGGAGGCAAGCTCGCAAATGACGCGAACTGCAGGAATGCTACGATGCCTAAATTGTTGAGCATCGCTTGCGTGTACCTGATAATGCATGTATCAGTTGTTTGAGTCTCAGGTGGGCAATTTATGTGCTAGAATTTTCTTGAATAAAATTCTTTTATGGGTTATTATTTATTAATGATGTCGCTGACTTATTAGCCATTTCCATTTACGTAAATTATTGGTTCAACTTGTTACTCTCAACATTTCAAGTTCGATCACTGAAAGTGGAAAATCATTGACTCCATTGTTAACTCTTTATATCAAAGCTCGGGTCCTGATCGAGAATACTGTTGAAAATATCTCGTATTTCATTATATTTGAAAGCAATGAATGCAAGAAACCGTGTACACCTCCTAACTGAAGGACTGTGTTGCTCATGCATTACCTGATTTTATCTGCACTTCCCTCGAGTCCAATCAGGCGATTGCCAATTTTTTAGCTTATCCTGGTTAACCGATTCACACGAGCTCAATATCAGCACAATTTTTTGCTATATTTCATTTAAAAAATAATGTGAGGGCACATTTTATTGTCTTGATGCATCCAATACCTCACTATTATTTAATATTTAAGTAATTTGTTCTACTCATATATAAATAACTGCTGATTGCTCATGTTATAGACTTGCTCCTCGTTTCTGATTGTGCATTTTAATTGTGCAACATTACACATTATTATTATTATTTAGGTAGAACTACCTCTTTCACACCTTTTTTTTATGCTGTCGAAGAATTTGTATCAAAATCAAAACGCTCGAACTAAACGAAGTTTAACCTGTTCGGTTTAAAATAGCAGACACAGTCTTACATCTACAGATAATACCGAAAATTTTCAGAGTTCAGCCTCAATTCTTCGTCTATGTTACGGGGCTACGGGTACGGGAACGTTTTCGAGTTAAACCTCTTTCGCGAATTTGTGATGCATTTAAGCCTCGAACAAAACGAGCTGATGATGACAACCATGTCTCGCTTATTGAGTTATCAGCTCGTCCTTCGTGGCAAAACTAGACACTTGACGCAAAGGTTGTGTCCTTGATATGAATAATTTCTTTGGCCTAGTTACTCTTTTGTCAGTGCGTTTTCTAAGCTGGTTTTCTGTTTGTTTTCAGGGATGACTCGTCTCTCTGGGACAGATTTCATTTACAAATCGCCAGGGATTGGCTTTATCCTCCTCAAGACCGCGATGCTACTGTGGATCTACTACTCCAGCACACAGTCTCACAGCCAATTGTTAAAATAAGTGAGTTCGAAAGAAAAATTCGCGAGAATTCTTCGTTGTATTGCGGAATGTTGACTTAACATCTGTCAGCACGCGTAATTAGTTTGATTTTCCATCATAACACAGCGCTAACACCATTTTTAAAAAATTAAATATCTATTTAACGAGAGAAAATAACATCTGCGGTACATCACAGCTTTGATTCAAAAATTTTTAACAATATTCAGGTGCAAGATGCATCAAATTGTCAGAAGAAAAAATAGTATAAGTATATAAATAAGTATATAAATAGTAATATACTATTATAAATAATAGTATATTTATAATAGTATAAATAGTATACCTGAAAAAATTATTTTATTCAAGAAAGGAATAAGTCACCTCGGTAAAGGATATGAATACCTATTTTAATATTGGTTATCACCTTAATTTTAGCGTGTTTCGGATGAATGAATATTTCGAACCCATGCACATAAAACAAATAGTGTGCGCCTATATAGCCTGGTCTCGATCAGTCACTTGTCGCACTTCCCTTCATTTTCTTTATGCACAAACTCTTTGAGATGCCATTTTGTTAAAAAATGCTCGGTTTTTATCCATCATTCTAGTAATTTTGTCAGTTACAAACACCATTAGACAAAGTGTTCTAGCTTGCCAATTCATGAATCTCATTTTAATCACCTCGTAATCTTCATCAGTGTAGATAGAGATTACAATTTACTAAAGTGTACCTATTCGTGTTGGGTTGTCGCTAATTTCTTCCTGTATAATGCTAAATTTAATTCAAATTATTTTTATTCCTATAAATGATTGATATTTTATTCTTGAACCACAATAATTAAACAATTTCTAATGAAATGTCATTAATTATTTTTGCAGCTCAAAAGGAAGGAGGTACGCAGCTGAAGCTCATCATTGAATTCGCTGACGGCGGTCATGCTCTCTTCAAGCCAATGAGGTAATATTGGCTTACAACTCATTATTACAATTAACGGTAATTAGATACCCACAAATTTATATTTCTCAACTCACACATTCATTTGATGTCAGCGTTGCCCAAAATATTGATTAGAAAAAACATGCTGGTAATGTTTTTTTTTATGTTTATAATGCACCTTATTTTGCTGCGCCATTCTACTTATTCAAGCCAATAAAGTTCTCAAAAACAATTTTGATCTTAAATACTGCCTTATAACTGTATATAGCATATCTATGCACCAGGTTTTACCGTCTTTGTAAACTGGTAGCATTTACAAAATGTTAAAGTTATTGGAATCCTAGATTAACAGATAGAAAATATCAAGAATAATATTTATTATTTTCGACATATTCTTGAGATGCAACAGGTCTAACTTACGAGACTGATTTTGATAAGACGCTTCAAATTTTCGATGAGCTTAAGATATTCCCTATGGATGCAGTCTGTGTCTTAATGGTGTATTCCAGCTTACGTATTCACTTGTACGTTCACCTCCCGATTTCTTTAATGTGGCGATCCTATTTTAACCACAAATTAGCGCTGCGTTATAGATAATAACAGCTTGCAGGTTTGAAACTTGACAATTTTGTTCACCTCTAATTTTTCACGTCGAAATTCGTGTTAAAATCAAGTCTCCTTCACCCGCTATAGCCTGCGATCTTTTCATCTAATTTCCCCCAAAGCCCAAGAAATTAATGATCGTATAAATCACAGGAAAAATGTGATCACTCATCATTGATAAATTATTCAGGAATGAAGGCCCTGTCGCGCCGCCAGTCTGTAAAGTATGTTCCGTGACACAGTGCGCGTGACGTTGGTTTATTATCTGTACTTATTTTCATGATGATCTGAAGGAAGGTTTGAACTCACGCTGTAAAGTCTAGCTAATAATTGATCGTATGTGTGTAAATTTTACAATAGCATCCATTATACCGACGCTAGATCAACAAATCCCGATTTTTGTTCGCGAATCCGTTTGTTGTTCGCGTTAAAAATACATGAGATGGTAATGCTTGTATTAAATCTTTCTCAATATGTTTTGGGTATAATGTAGTTAATTCCTTGAAATAAAAACAATGATAAACCCGTGTGCAACCTGTTTCGAAATCCGTTTGCAATTTTTATCACACACTTATTACGCTACGTAAAAGCTCGTCCGTGCAGACGAAACTTTTCACTTGAAGTTTTCAACTATAATTTGTTCCTCAGGGAATAAATTGTCACTTGAATTGAAGGTGCAGTAATTTATTAAAAGTTATTTTCCCGCTGTACGCTTCGTTTCTGTGTTTGTGTGGCCGAGAACTTTCCATGACGCTGGACTGCTATGTTTTTAAGCTGTGCAGTTCATTATTCACATTCCCCCACTAGTATGATTGCTGGGGTAATTATATCTACAACTTTCACTTTCTCTACACTTCCAATATCTGATAAATTACCCTCTCCGTATCGGCGTTGTTTCTGAATGAATGGTGTGTTGACGTATGTTTCTCTTCCATTAAAGAATTTACCGTAGTTCAACAATTGTTGTTTATAAGACTAATTGTCACTCAAGTGAAGCGGAGATCAAAGAGTGAAGTATAAAGAGAGTGAAGTTACTTAATCACTTTTGTTTACTGGAAATTACTATTCTTACTCTTGGAAGTATTGTTTTGCATGTAGGTATGTAAGATTGAGACAAATAGTTGTCTTTGCATCTAATCTGAATCTCGTCTATTTATATTCATTACGAGTAATCATTTAGTTTAAACATCTGAAAAAAATTTGATTGAACTTTGTCCTTTTTTCATTGGGAATATAAAAATCACTTATGAACAATAATTTGTAAGCTTGAAAAATATACAATTTAACTTAAATTATTAATCGCATGCTTGCTAGTTACGAATCTTCCTTGGCAGCTCCGATAGATGCTGCCTCCGCATAAGTGCGCCTAGTTCGCTGCAAGAAAATAATGACGCTATTGTTCATGATATTATTGACCTTGTAATTCAGTTCAATTGATTGTGGGGTGTCTCGTGGGTAAAAGGTTTATTGTTTGCAAACCTGAGTTGCATCATGCAGTCTCGTGCAACCGTGTTTTGCAACACAAATAATAATTTCGGTCATTTTGTGATGGTATACGTCAGCCTAATTTCTTTTTACTTCAATGAGTCTCGTATTACCTCCACGATCAATTATACTAAAATTCTACTAAAATTCAATTTCCAGCGCAGCATGTAGAGTTTCTTATGAAAATTTCGAGGATTGATTTGGGCAATCAAGTTCATTAAATAGGATCTGCATCAGAAGTCTTGTAAAAATTCAATATTTTCTTTGATTTGTTACAAACTTGACGATGAGATTTAAACGAAAACATTGTAAGAGTGTGTTACCACTATTAAGTTCTTATACTTATGATTCCAACAGGCTGTCTTACAACTCCAATGTCCTGTAGCCTCGTATTTGCCATTCCTCTTAAGAAAATATATTAGCTAAAATGTTTTTCACCTGAACATGAGTTGCGAGTGAAAAGCTTAGAAGCAAAGCTTAGAATTTACACATTTTATAGAGCTTGTCGCTTTGTTCGCTTCAGGTTCTCCCGCGAACAACAGACGCTCAAGAATCACTTCTACTTCACCGACTATGAGCGCCACAACGCAGAGATAGCAGCGTTCCATCTTGACAGGTGTGGTGCCGAGGCTTGTCTCAATATAGACAATTTATTTCTGCTCTACATTCACCCAACAAATGGATTAAATTTCGCCGGGTTCACTTGCTATTGTGTGTTATCCAAGCATTTAGGAAATTTTAAGTTTTCTTTATCGTTACCGACATCGCTAAACATTTCATCGGTCATCAATAAGCACCGTCAAAGAGGTCCTTTATCTTCCCATCCTTGTTATTGTTTGATTTATTCCCGGTATCTAACCGCAATCAAAGTTATTCAAACTATTGCACAATTACTACAACCTGCGATGGCTCACAGGCTTCTCGGTTTTCGGCGCTCGGTGCCCGTGGTGGGCCGGACGCTGAACATGACCAAGGAATTGTATGCTCTGGCCACCGGTGACCTCCTCAAAACATTCTTCATCTCACCCGACAACAACCTCTGCTTCCACGGCAAATGCAGGTGAGGGTCTGCCATGTTTTTATTGTGATTTAGTCTCAAAATTTTCTGAGAAATTTCTGACGGGAAACGGAAGATGAAGCTTTATGTGCTTCAAAGTTCTTAGCTTTCATTGATTTTCAATTGATTTGGCTAAGATTTTTCCTTGGCAATGTTTTTTCTTTAGATTCCAAATTAATTTCATTACCTTTTGTACTCGAGTTGCTTATGCACTCCTGGCTTTCTTAATTACTCATTATTAATTTCAAACGGTGTTAATTGCTGCTACAACTCGCCCATGTCTGGGTTTTTCGCGGTCGTCGTTTGTCGAGGTCCTGGCTTGTCAGGCAGTAAATTAATGACGCGGAGAGGCGCGGCGTCCCCTGGGAGGCTGCTGGACGAGCTGCAGACAGCTTCGCTGGCCTCCTACCCTAACAAAATTTAGAGTCGCCCCAGCTTCTGGTATTCCAAATCAGAAGCTGCCGCGTCTGTAAATTTTCACTGGGTAACAAAATTTAGAGTCGCCCCAGCTTCTGGTATTCCAAATCAGAAGCTGCCGCGTCTGTAAATTTTCACTGGGTATGAAGCCCAAGATTGTCTTCTAATTTGCATTCGTTCAAACCTTCGCGCTAAGACTGCTTGTACTATTTCATGGTGCGCTTGCATGCATGATATACGAAATTACATTTTTGAACTCAATGCAAAATATTTTTGTTAGTTTTCTTGTTGAGATAAATTATTAATATGGTTGAAAATGAGTTCATTATGCCTGGCCAATATGGCTCTTCAATGCGGTTTTCATTGACTTCATTTAAATAACTTTTTGAATAGTTCACTTTAATATTGGATTTCGTTAAGCTTTATTATTATTTAAGGTGTTATGAAGCTCAAAAATCAACATTCGTAGTAAAAAATCAACAGCACCATGTAAAGAAATATATAATATTTCAGTCCATTCGTCTATTCGGGCTTCGATCATGTCATATTCGCTCTCTCCATCGGCGCAACTTTAGCTACAAATAGAATGTCAATAAATTTTGTCCGTCCTCCTAACCTCGGTCATATTTGGCCTGCTCATGCTCTAAAGGACCATAAAAACTTCATTAAAATGCCGTCCGTAATACTGACCCCGTAGTGATGTTATTTTCAGCTATTACTGTGACACGAGTCACGCTATCTGCGGCAACCCTGACCTGCTGGAGGGCTCGTTTGCGGTCTTCCTGCCTGGCAAAGAAGCGGCGCCCCGCAAGGTGTGGCGACATCCCTGGCGCAGGAGCTACCATAAGAGGAGGAAGGCGCAGTGGCAAGTCGGTGAGTTTACCGCAGCAATTCTGGTTTTGCCTCGTGTTTACCTCATCAATTCTTGCGTTGCCTCGTGTTTACCTCATCAATTCTAGCTTTGCCTCGTATTTACCTCATCAATTCTTGCTTTGCCTCGTGTTTACCTCAGATATTCTAGTTTTGCTCCTGTCTACCTCATCAAGTCTGGCCTTGCCTCGTGTCTACCTCGTCAATTCTTACTTTGTCTCGTGTTTACCTCATCAATTCATCTTTGCCTCGTGTTTACCTCATCAATTCTTGCTTTGCCTCGTGTTTACCTCGTCAATTCTTACTTTGCCTCGTGTTTGCCTCATCAATTCTTGTTTCGCCTCGTGTTTACCTCATCAATTCATCTTTGCCTCGTGTTTACCTCATCAATTCATCTTTGCCTCGTGTTTACCTCAGCAATTCTTGCTTTGCCGCGTGTTTACCTCATCAATTCTAGTTTTGCCTCGTATTTACCTCATCAATTATTTCTTTGCCTTGTACCTATTTACCTTATCAATTCTTGCTTTGCCTCGTGTTTACCTCAGCAATTCTTGCTTGTGCGCACATGGCACAATGGCTGAAAGATGATATTTTGGCTCTTGAGCGATCCGTGCTATTTTATTGGTTTACGTTGAGGTAATAATTGAGACTGAGATCACCCCTGGAGGCTAAATGTAGATTGATTAATTCTGAAGTATGAAAGTTTGAAGGAAAAATGTTTTGATAATTAAATTACGTTCGAGCACGCTTTGCTCACAGGTATCTATAATTTATATAATTTATAATTATAATTTCTCCTCGTTGCAGACGAAGCTTACTGCGACCTCGTGAGAGACGTGCACCCGTACAGTGAAGGCAGACGACTGCTTGACGTCGTCGACATGTGTGTCCTGGACTTCCTTATGGGCAACATGGACAGACATCATTACGAAACTTTCAAGGTACGTAATTCTCTTCAATGAAATTCGAGTCAAAGGTGTAATTAATATGTTTTGCTTCAAGTTTTGCCTTTGTGCTGAATATGCTTGCAAATTTACTGGAACTAAGATTTGATTTTTTGTGTAAATCTTATCCTTAGTTAGTGTTTACGATGATAATTACTTTGTAATGAAGTCTGAAAGTGACTTCAAGCGAGTAATCATCGATGCATTTCGAGTATAAATTTTCCATTCAATTCAGTATAACTACAAAGTAAGGCAAGTTTTCAGTAACAACGAAAACAAATCTATTCAGTAGATCACATTTTGCGAAATGTCCACGATTACATTACGCATTGCAGAAAACCAGCTTGAATTACCAACAATACCAACAAAATACTTATAAACCGTGTTCGTTCAGAATATTTTACTAAGATACATCCGTTTTCATTCGAGATATGTCCACGTATTTTTTCACGTTCGTGTGGTGGCAGCAGATGTCACTTATTCTCTGGAATTTTAATCTGGACGTCCATCTGTTGTATCTGAAAGCCTCCCTCTCGCATTGTGAATTCGCCCCCTTCTTCCACGCAGGTGTTGCGTAGGGAGCGTCACTGTGTCTAGCATTTCATGGCAAAAAATATATATTTTGTGAGGAAACATTCATGTTATGGCATCAAAACGTTCGCTTCGTTGCAGCCTTCATCAAAGTGGTCTCAGTTATAGGTCTCATTTTTGGCCCCCGATGAAAAACTGACGCCATATTTTTCTACTGTGAACCATACAAGGATGCGTTCTTCAATGTCGGTTTCGCATCAGTGGGTTTTCACGCCGTGTTCGATGTTGGTGCTCATTTTTAGCAAAAATTTATTTCTCTACTCGCGAATTTATTTCTTTAAAGTTTTATGCAGAAATAGGTGTCTACTTGATGAGATGTGTTAATGATATAATACAGCTTATTTTATAACGGTTTCAATTATTACATAAGCTACTACTCAATATTTACTATAGTTTTAACTACAACTCCTACTGTGTTACGTATTAAATTCGCTATCGGCTAATCGTACCGAAACACTATAAAAATTATGCACAAACCTTTGAATGTAAAATTGGATCGCAAATTTTAGGGTTTACTAATAGAGCCGGCCAAAATTCCTGTCGTTCATTTCACATTTCGCCTGCCGTATGTTTTGCGTTGCAGAAGCCTAATTCAAGATTTTTTCTTTTCGAAATATTTGCTCAGCTCCAAGCTTGCTCCTGCAAAAATGTCTTTTGCTGCTGTAAAAGTTGCAATCGACTGTAGTTTTTACTAGCTTTGGAATCTCGGGGTGTCATGATTACTTAGTTTGAAGTTTGATTTTTAGTGTTAAAATACCCTCATGTAATTTCAGGATTACACTATTGGCAACATATTCAAAATAATATTTTGGTAAACTTTCCAAGAAAAACTATAATGAATTTTAATTGTGATATTTATTACCTCTTAGCAACGTAAAGTACACAGGCAGTACCTGTGTATTTTTTTCCGATCTCCAATGACCATTTGTTATTAATTTTAATGTTTAGAAGCAGTGAGTAATAATTTTTTTCTCATTAATATACAAATTTAGTTTTTGAGCAAGTTTACATAGCATTTCCTCATCCTATCATACTGAGATACATCTTATATAACTGCAGTTAACTTTTCAAATATTAAATATACTTGGCTTAATTGGAGATGAATTAATTAGAGTCGATCAATTAATTAGAGTTGATTATTGTCATTCAAGTCCCGCGGGCCTAGCTCGTGGTGATATATACACTGCGTACAGCAGGTTTCGTGACACACCAGACTTTTCGTTTGCTTATGGTGCATATAACCTTGCCTAAAAATCCATGCTTGAATTCAATACTGGTTAATTGGCGGCTTCGCCCCTATTTGCGCAATTAGTTGGCCAATGACGGCTACACCGGAGTTTTTTCTTCCCTCACTCTCGTAAAATTTCAATTATATGAAAGCATTCTGCCTTTATGACCTGGAAACTGCTAGCTGCCGACGTAAATTCCAAAGGCTTGTATAAAAAAATTCATTTCGATGAGTAACATGATTATGACTTCTGCTCCTGTTCGTTGATATCCTTAAATTTTTTAATTAATTTTAAAAATGAGTGCGAAAATTTGCATATGACAAACGGTGCCTGAAATTTCAGACTTTTTTTATATTTTTGCATTTATAATATAATAGTAAATTTAATAGTAATGGGATCCGATAGTTTCCGTAAAAAATATTAAATCACTTTAATTAAAATCAATTTATTAAATAATCACTTTACATATATGATGAATTGACGAGCATCCCATTCATATAGTTAGATGACCTCGTCTTTCTCATCGAAACTGTAAAAGGACGAGGAAAACTGATTAAATTATCTTCGCTTAGAAGCGATGACCGGCCACAACTTGAAGTCCTAGCAGTCTTAACTTCCGTCATTATGTGCGATCAGGCTCGTTGTGCTGGCCAGATTGATGCTTTCTCCGGCACCGAAGACCTCCTTCCCGCGTTGCACGATTTCCTATTGCTGATGTAAAAACTCCGTAGAGTTAGCCGTCCACTTTACGACTTCGCATGTGATGAAATTTTTTCCCCCTACCATAAAATTGTCTGCGATAATCTGGCTCTTTGCTCGAATGCTGCTGCGCTATTTTGTGCCTTGTGAATGGTTAGCATATTGCCAAAAATTTCGCCTCATTTTTGGGAGGCTTGGAAGAACTTATCCCCGAGTTTAGAGGTAATGAAGACATGCGAGTGCCGTGGTTCGGTCGAAATACGATCATTGTACCTCCAACTGTCGACAGTTTGTGCAGCATTTGTCTTTTAATCTTCATCTGCAGTATTGTTCGGCTAATGATTCAATCCTGAGCCGAATTAGCTTCCATAATGTAGATTTTTCATCACTTCTGAACGAAGGAACCATCTCGCGGTTCTGGGATTTTTTTTTTTTTTGGAAATTACTGTTATAAGTTTTTTTAATTTAACAATTCCCTGGAATTTCTAGCCTTCAGTACTCTTTTTTTCGGTCCCCAACTCTAGCAAAAATTGGCTTAACTTGCTGCACGGACATTTTCAAATTGAGATGTTCGGATTAATTGAACATAACCGACTTTCATGTGGAAGAAATACTCATTCGCTAAATCTCTCATGAATTTTGCCTGTCCTTCATCAGCAAGGGATTCTGGGATTGGTCTTTCGAGAATCATACCCAATGACCTGTGTCGGTATTCGCTTCTGAATTTTCGTTGGTATTGTCCTGCATGTTTATAAGCATCTAAAGGTCGCATGTAAAAGTTGGCGTTCACATATTTTACTTCCCAGGAACTCTTTCAAATGTTTTTTTTATCAGATAGTTAAAATCAAATATTCGTCTCAGAATTAGTTTTATCTAATTTGTACGGTACTGATGTTGTAAATTCTTTATTAGAAGAAATGAATTCACATTGCCACAGTGATCTTCCTATCTGGCGTATACTTGGCAAGAAGAGTCGATTTACTGAAAGCTATCTCGCTGGGGCTCGTTCTCTAGTCAGAGTTATTTTTCAAGCAGCAGCCCTCGTCCTCCGTCTTCTGAATTTCCCCTAAGATTGTAATGCAAGCGAAGTTTCACCGCCTGGTCGCTCATGGACCAAAATTTCGACAGTGCAAGGATTTTTTTTTCTGGCTCTTAGCCTTAAAGATTTCATATGAGATTTTATATCAGGGGGAGGCCTTTCTTACGATGACTGTTATTCGAGATATTTTGGAACGCTATTAGATGATTCCAGGGACATTGGCTCGCAGGCGAATTTATTCGGACACCGCTGAGCTGTGACACCCGCGGCGACATGCAAGAGGGAAGGAGCGCCTCCAGCGCTGCTGATTTACTTGGGGCCACCGCAGCTGCCGCCAACATCGACGCAATATTCCAGCCAGTCTACGATGAGATGTTCGAATTCTGGCTGCGCGCTTCTCTCTGCTCAACTTAACATTTGCGATGTCAAGTTCATTTTCATTGAAGCTCGTAAGCTTCATCCAAGTTCATCATAGGTGACGTCACTCAAGTTCGTATTCGAGAGACTCGTTATAACTTGAATATAATTTTAAACGAATTATTGGAGCTATTTTGTCTTGTCTTTCGATGCATCAACAGTGATAAATTTATTCTCGAGAAGATATCACTTTGAGTTTCTTATGCTCCGCTGCGTATTAATTCTGGAATAAATATCTTTTGCATTATTCAATAACGTACACTTGTCTAGTGTTCCTATATTCCTGTGGGATTGCACGCGAGAACACTGAACATTGAAAGATAATTTTAAATTACATTTGCCTCGAAAAATTATTCATAGGTTAGCGTATGAGTTTTCATGAGGCCTATTCACTGGTCAATTCATTGGCCTGCATTGGAAAAATTTACAGCGATGCATTCGGATGAAATAAATAGTTTGTCTATAAATGAACGGGCTCTCTATATTTCCGGAATTATGAAATTTTAAAATATACCCATATTGTTTTTTCTCACTTTATTAATTCATGTACGGGCTCGCTCTTATTGATCTTCGAAACACTTGTGCACTGAAAGTTAACGAAATTTTAAAAAATTAAATTAACGAAATTTAAGCTTTAATTAAGGGATTGTAACGAAACTAATTACACAAATGAGTTCAACTCGAAAAGTAAAACTCAAACCTCCCGATCAGATTTGCAACAACCATTTTTGATTTGGAGGCATCGTTTCTACACATTGAACTTCGACATGTAAATTCTGAGCTTCTTATAAAAATTCGTGCTTGTCATTTTTTCACTATGTCGTTAAATCAACCGAAAGAATATTTGACGATATTATAAACTCTTGAAACAATTGGCAATGTTTCAAAAAAGATTAATTCTACTCAACGCCTGTTAGCAAGTTGATACCTTATTGCATGACGACGCGTGAATGCCCTTTTTAGCGCATTTTCTCATTTATGGAAAAAATGCTCTATTGTGCTCGTCATGTCCGTCCGTCTGTCTGTCTGTCTGTCTGTCCGTCCGTGACTTCACGTTTTCGTCGACGAGAAAATGCGCTCTCTGTCACTCACTGCAGTGAGTACTGAGTTATATTTTTTTGTAATTCTCCCGACTTTTGACACGAATTATTTCGTCTCCTCGCAGATGTTCGGCAACAACTCGGCGCCGATACATCTTGACCACGGCCGAGGCTTCGGGAAACCCTTCCACGACGAACTCAGCATTCTGGCGCCGCTGTATCAGTGTTGCGTCATCCGACACTCCACTCTCAAGACGCTGCTAGGGTGAGACAAATTCTTTGTTTATTTCGCGCTTTTCTCCGGAAAATGTATTTGCTGGTAAGAATCTTTTCGCGTAGTGTGTGTACAAGTAGTTTGATGCTGCTAATGAAGTTTGTTAATTTGGAGATGAATTCGGAAGAGTGCCATAGATTCAGACACTCCATTCTCGAGACGCTGTTAGGTTGGACATTCCTCTAGCTTCTATTTCAAATTTCTCTTCTGAAGAAGTCTTTGCTGATACGAATTTTATCGCGTAGTGTGTACAGGTAGTTCAATTCTTCTAATGGGTTTTTTTGATTTCGAAATTAATTTGGGAGAATATCATAAATTCAGGTAATACTTATAATATGTTTTCACAAATTGAATTAAATCGTGTAATCTATATCATGTCGCTTCGTTAGCCTAATTTTGGACAACTACACGCATCGAACAGGCCTGTTCGCGGCTTGTTTCTTGGAATTCAGTCTGCTGAAATTGACCGCAGCCACACAAAAACTACCAAATTAAATGCTTTATCGTCTCAAGGAAGAAAAACAAATAATTATTTATGCATGACCTAAGACATAAATCCTCGTTTTTAATACTATATCTTCTATGAAATATTATATCAAAGACTTTTTTGCCACCGATGCCTGGCTGCATGTTGCTTTTTTTGCTCCATTGGCACCAACACTCAATTCTAATTTGCTCCCGATGACGCTGTATTTTTGCTAACCCACTTGTCAAGCTGTCAGTTTTTATACGCGCATGGGAATGCCATCAAAAATCCTACCCAAACGGCTCACTTATGCTAAATCTTTTGCTAATTAGGTTTGGCAAACAATTTTTAATTGGCCTCGCTTAGAGTCGAATTTATGGCCAGTGTCAACTTTTCATTTTGACATCCAGATGGGAACATTTATTAGCCTCATCATAGCCCTTTAGCGTGCCTGTTGAATCTATGTATAATGATCAAATAAAATATTTATTCGCTATTGTTGTAAATAGAGACCCAAAACATCAAAACGTGGCATCAAACGTTGAAGTATTACTCTTTAAATTATGCGCATAGGGGGCGATGCAGATGTTAAAAAAGTTCTTTGCTAACATTCATATGCAGAGGCGAAGATCCTGTACAAAGCATAATAAATGTACTATAAAAATAACAAACTAAATATACTTTGCACTGTTCTCAGAGCCGTACAGAAAAAAACTGTTATCTTCCTATCAAGTTGGTATCCGATGGATTCCAACCGAATTTTCTCGTTATTGAAACGTCCTATAATTTCCGGCGGAGTTAAAATACATGCATTTCTATCGTGCGACTCGCTCTTTATCTGATTTCGAGCTCACAATCGGAAATGAAGGTATCCGGACAGGATCCTAATCTGGAAAGCGGATCAGAGCGCTTGTTCTCTCCTCCCTGTTTGTAATGAACATTTATTTGAATGACCTTGCAAGCTAATGACTTTCCAATCTAGTCCGGAGATATTAAAAGCGATCCAATATTACAACAACGCCTTAAATATGTTCCTCCATTAAGATCTTGTCCGAGAACGTTTAGATAAGACCCGAATTATACAATGTTTTAGATTATGTTCGTTGCCGCGGTTCATTATTTTTCCTTAAGAATGCGTATTTTATTTTACTTGTAATGTTTCAATTCAATTGCATCATATTTCGCGTTCTTATGTACATTCGAGCGTTCCTTTGAATACAAAAATATTGTTTATTTTTTACTTCATTTTTCAGCCATAGTTCAAAAATTGATATAAACATTTCTTACCTCTTTTTTGTGAAGTTTTTCGTAGTGCGTCGTTATGTTTGTGCCGCGTTTTCAAACCAGACGCATGCTATCCTGTATCCGGTGGCCTCTATCAATCACGAACGTTTTCATATGCCACCAATTCATCGTCATTTCTTGGAATCACCTCGCTGTGGAACACATAATTACAGGGTTAATTGTTACGTTCACTTTGTTTACCTCTGAGGGATCATCACTGTTTTCCGTGTTCGTTGACATTAATGATCAGTCACTCAGTTGACGGCTGGCCCTTTGAAAATGAAGCATGCCACTGCATAATAGCGAATCGGCTTTCCCTTTATTATGTACTCGGTTAAAGCTAGGAACAATTTTTGGCAAAACGGAACTCAGAGTAATCATTGACAAACGATAAACTGGATTCAGTGCAGGCTGCCAAGAAACTAGATTTATTCATGTCTGACAAAAATTTCTGATAATTCTTGGCAGGCGGGAAGTTGAAAGAATTATTTAGAGAGAAATAACCTGGAATATTTATCGCCAGTATTAAAACGGGATAGAGCTCGACTTCATGTCAACATACTCGTACTTTTGACGTTGTGATCGGATTAATGCTAAGATCAATTTCTTTGGTGAAATGCATTATAATTTGCTTACTATACTTTGACGTTTTTGCCCTCGTCACTTAACCCATACTTGTTTATTTTTGATCGAGCTGTGTTTAATGTAACCATTATTTCCAATTGAATATAATTTGTAAAAGGGTTTAATGCACGGAGGAGTTTCTGTTTTTAAGTAAATGTCACGATTGTTTTGATCAGTTTGTATGAGTCCAAAACTGTTTTCACAGAAGCCTTCTCGTTTCGCTTTCCGTATAAATCTTCATTTATTTTAATGCGTGAATATAAACACGGATAGGAAAAAGTGGGTGAATAGTTGATTTTATCAACCCATGAGATTGAGTGATAGGCTTTTAAGCTCCCGTATATAGAGGCTCGTTATTGAGTTTGAGTCTGAATTTTCTCGCGCTTTATTAATTTTATTATTTGTATTCCAGTACAAATGAGAAAATTATTTACGGCAGAATATCATCAATTCAGTTTTTTTAATTTCCGCATACGTCTAAAATTTTGTTCTATCATTTCGACCATCATTTTAAAATAATTTCTTCTGTTCTTCAAAGTTTGTTCGTGGTTTGTTTCCTGGCGTTTAGTCTCCTGAAATTTACCGCAGCCACACAAAAAAGCTACCAAATTAAATGCTTTGTCGTCTCTAGGAAAACAAATGCCGTTTAAGAGAAAAATCTCTTTTGGGCAAAGAATTGGCCGAACTCCACTCAAACTTTGGGCTGTGTTATTATTTGCACTTGTGTCTTGTGTTGGAAACGATCAGTTGTGACCCTATATAGGATTGTGGACGATGCTTCTTTCTTGAAGAAATTGTTGAGATGAACAAGTTTCTAAAAGAAACGCCAAAGTATATTATTTAATTTTTTCAGTATTAATCGAGGAATTTATGAATTTGTTATGTTTCCCTTTGTGTTTAGTGTTTTTCGTTTTACTAAACACTTCGCTCTCTGAAATTTCTAATATATATGATCTATGAAACACTATATTTTTAGATATGCAAACCTTCTAATAAATAGATAAATGAACGCTTCACTTCAGGTAAAATGAGCACACATTTATACTCTTATATTCAACGGAAAGTGTTTTTAATGATTTGCTGATGAATCTGATAAAGAGCTTTCGAAGTTTTTCGTCACATTACTTCCCTGAGCGGCTGATGTTAACTCCTCAACTTACGATCAAAGCTTACTTTCATGGCCGTTCGGTGAGTCGTTACCCGTTATTTGAATTCTCGGTCCTGGAACCGATATTTTGTAAAAAATTAGAAGTTATAGAGTAAAAAATAGAGGACATTTACTTGTTTATTTAAACTTGGTGTCTTTTTTTCATTCAGATCGGGTTAGCGATTATCGTCAAAATTTTGAATTCTATTCTTTTTTCAAGGCTACAATTTTCTTACTTTATATTAAGAAGGCAGAAATTAGAACGTTGTTGACACTCAACGAGTTCGACGTAATTCAAACATCCACGCTTTGAAAGCACGGATATTTAACTTACAACTGTTCATACTATCATTAATAACTGTGGATCTAATTTCTCTATTGCAGATACCAACTTCACAGCAACACGCCGAATTCTTTGAGCAATTCTCTGAATCGCAGTCTTAGCGCGGACCCGTTGACCCCGGTGCTGTGGCAACCTCATCTCGACGCCGTTGACAGAAGACTCGCCCTTGTATTGCAGGCTGTCAGACTCTGCGTCGAAAAAGCTGACGATCCTTCTACTGTCGTCGTCGATGATTTCCACTGATGATTTCATTGAGGCTTGATAACTAACTAGTATCCTCCCCACATTCATTTAAATCCGTTGGAATGGGTCGCTAATATTCAAACATTGTTGCTATTCGTACGTTGTTGGTAAGCTTTGTCGCTGAGAATCGTCGCTATAAGAACACGAGCAAAATTACGAGTAGTTTCCATGCGAAAATCGCTGACTTTTTACGAAAGCAGCTTATTGGGATTAATGATAACTTATTTATCTCATTATATTTTCTGTGTTTTCGACGATTTTTCATGCGATCCATCGAAAAAAATTCTCTGAAATGGCGCACATTGTTTATAAAGTATGAAGATTTACTCCAGCATAGTTACTACTTATTGTTCTAAATCCCTGAAAATGATACTCTGCTAAGCAGCATATACTGTGAAATGTTTGAAGTAGGAAAGCATGCAATGGCTTTTTGATACAAATGTACAAGTGGCCTGTTTTGTTGGGCAGTGGCTAGAAATTAAATCTTAATTTACTGACTGATTTGATATCATCTGTCTTAGAACTGTCTTTTACTTCGTTTCATGCCATCTTTAGTAAAAAAAATCTCCAGCCCGGAATGTTCATAAAAAATTTCTAGATAAATGTTCTTAGAGATATTTTTATCGTAAAGTACAGACCTTCTTTTAGCTCCACTGTTGTGCAACGAATTATCAGTTCGACATCCTCTCCATAATTTCTTGAGGTTTCCAGATTTTTACTATTTACTTTTTACTGTAAATTAACATGGAAAGGCTCTTTTTACGGAATATTCTGGTTATATTGTAAGATAAATCTTGATTTTAACTTGCCTCGTTATCAACTTTAAAGTTATTAATTTCTATTCAGAATTATTGGTTTAATTTTAATACTTGTTGAAGGTTCTTAAGATTTTATTGCAGAAATAGCATTTATGTTTTATTTTTATAATGTAATGAAGTTTATTTTGAGTGTCTTATTTAGATTATTTTCTTTGTCATTTTTGTTACTATATGGTACGAATTGTCTCTCTAATGGTTAATTGGCGTAATGATTTGCAATATATAATGATAACGGCCGAGGTTTGCAAACTTGATGATAGTCCGTCGTTGTTTCTGTTAATTTCTTATTATTGAGTATGAAATTTGAAAACTTATTAAGAATTTTGTCTGAAATAATTGAAGCCACATTTCAAATTTATAATGATGTAAACCGACAAGGAAAACTAAAAGATGACCGCCGATAATAGGCATATGAAAATTCAGTTTCAATGTATTTTCAGTTGTTCGCGGTCGCAGACTGAGCGTATAGTGAGTAAATTAAATGCTCGTTTTATACTCCGTAGACTTAGTTAACTCTTCGAACCTCTGCTAGCATGGCAGAATTTACAGCAATATTTCTTTTATAAACCACATTAAATTCGTAAAAACAAAATAATTTGAAATTAAATTGCTGTTATTTTTATCATTTTTATTTGTTAACGAACATTACGTTTGAAAGAGATTTATGATCATTGGTGTTCATTTGCCAATCTGGTTCTAATTATGTCGCTCAACGCAAGAAACAAAAAAATAACCAATAAATAAAAATAGAAAACATATTTCAACCATAAGTATTTTTGGTCTTAATGATGTTGTTTTTGTCATGACCAAGAATTCAGCGTGTCATGATTTTTTTATGGAAAAAGTCGACCACTTAATTTTATCTAACCTGAAAAATATCAAATGCCTCGTACTGTTGATTAACGACCGGGTTTTACACGAACGGTATTTTTTCCATGACGACAAAGTTCCTTTTATTTATATAGAATTTTTTTCCCTCTTCAGTCATGTTTACTCAGATCCAAAACCTCACAACTATTTTTTTTTCGTGAAATATATATAAATTTTTGCAGTGGCTTTCGAAACCGAAAGAGTTTTTAAATTTGTTTAAAGGTTCTCGAAAAACTTTGCATAAGTTTTGGTTCAACTTAGGAGTTTTGTCCTAATGTGTTTTACCATTTATATTTCTCCAATAGTTTCTTTAAATCGACCACATACCGTAGTTTTTCGATAATACTAACTAATGTTCTGCGTAAAGATTTCAGTACTTCTGCCTTGCATTCAGGCAAAGTTTTTGTAATCGTGATAATTTCTATGTCTTACGAATATTTTTATATGAATGATTTTTGACGCTTGAGCTGTGCATAGATAATGATAAATAAGCGTATCTTGGAGCGTAGGTTTCACTTCACTTCCCTTATCTTTTGAAATTATATTTTGTTATTTTGTGATAGCTTAATAAGATCATGCTAGCAATATATTTATTTTAGAGCGAGTGTGAACTCTCGGCCTATATCTCGTTTATTTACAAGTCAAGGTTTCCTGGGATTGCAATTCTTGTTAGATCAAATGCTACAATTTTTTTCAGCTCTAGCAAAAATTGCTATTATGTTTGTAAATCGCAGAAACAACATGAGTTCTTCTGTTAGAATTCAATGGAAAATTTAGTTTTTATCACTAGATCACTCTAACTTCTACTTTGTTATCACGTTACCTTTTCAGGAATTATCTAACATTTATAATATCCTATCACTGGACAATTTTATTAAATTTATTATTTAATTGTCGCATCGCTTCAAAAAATCAATTTAATCCCCTGAATTAAACTGAATCTATTCACTTTTAATTATCTTCGTTTAGCGTGAAATCTAATATGAGAGAATTTAGTCTTGAATCTGAATGCGTAATTATATATGTACTCTGGAAATATCGTGGTAACTCGTAAAATAAAGATTGCTGAGCGTGCGGCTCTGGTACAATGTTAATGCATTATACAAGTCTTCCTGTACATAAAAGATGTTGACATGTTCCGCTATGTTAGTGAGGCGGCTGGTGCGTGATGTCATGACTAATGCGTCGTGATGTTCCCTCATGCTTGAACCATGCGAGGTTAGTGCAAGAATGATCGGTTGGAAAAAGTTACTCTTTCTATATTCAGTTGCATTATTTCTGATTTTATTGCCCACCATTTCTTACTTTTTAATCACAAGAAGCAGAATTGTTTATTCATTTAATCGTTTGACTTTGAATTGAATCCTTATCTAGATGGCCCAAGAAAAAGAGTTTAATTGTATTACTTATGCAAGTCTTAAATACTTTCTCGGCCTAAAAAAATTAACCAAGTCCGTAAGAAATTTTCTCCTGATCTCCGTTGAAGTCAATGACCAGTCATGGCGTCACGCTCCAGCAGTTCGTAGCAAGTTGTTCACATTAGCAATCAAACGTACTTTGTCGTTGCTAGTTTGCGTATTAGCAACTGCTGTCGTATTACGTAGAGTATATATTAGAAATGAACGGTGGTATTGTTCCATGACCGCTTCTCGGGTGTATAACTAGTGCGCCTCTCGCTGAGCAGAGTTCTTCTTATTTCACTTGCGATGAGGCTCTTGGACGACGAGGCAATAAGCAAGTACCGTCCCCACAGCTCCTAGCATTGGCGGGTGTATGATATTAATTAATATAAATTAATGATTTTCCAACTGATTGCGAATGTAGATTCTCGTTTACACAATTTTGATTAAGATTCAATGAACTATTATTTGATATCTATTTTTAAAGTTCAATGGAAATTAACTGGTGCCTGCTGCTGTTTTATGACTAAATTAATTCTATCCAGTGAGTTATTTATTTAGTTTTCTATGCGAAGCCTTCTGTAGGGTAGGTGTGATAAACCGAGCAGTGTTCGTTGTTTGGAACTCACCGTGTGGTACACTACGTTGATGTGAAGAGATCTTAGCTCTCAAATTAAAACATTGATGAAGCCAATAAATTATTTGTGATGAGAACATCGAAGTGTGCCTGTTTGTTTCATAATGTAATTAATTTAGGTTTCACTTTAATGAAGAAGGCATGCGGTGCATCCTCTTTAAGTTGGAGCTTAGGAACATTAATTTTTCCATAAGCTGGATTATATTGTTATGATTGCTTGCGTGGAGAAGGGTGCCTAATAAATCTTTCAAATAAGTGTATAGCAATTAATATTGAAATGATAAATAATGGAGCCAAAATATGACAGTCAAGTGATAATTTTTACGTAAACTGTGAGGAATGAATTGTTTCAATTATTCCCTCTTTAGTTCATAAGATGCGGCGACCTTATTTCTATAATCCTAGTTTTTGTTCATTAGCATAACCAAAATATCAAATGAAGTTAACAATAAATAAAAATATCATAATCTAATAAATACGTTCAAATGTAAAGTCTGACAATTTTAACAAATGGAAATCAATTTTAACTAACGTAAAGTCTGAAAATTTTAGCAAATGGAAAATTAATCTTGAGGTTTTTCGAAGAAAGAAAGCATAGAAGAGTCAATAACCTCAGATTCTCCCCGATCAAAACATTACGGATAGACTTCTCCAGAAATATCCTTTCTACACCGCCTGCTGTGGAAGTAATTTTGTCTAATGAAAATCTACATTCCGGTTGGAGGAACTTCAATATCTCCAGCAACTTTCTGAACTACAAGAAAGACTCAATTCCATTTCAGACACGACTCCAATGTCATGTTTCATTTGCCTTGAGGAAAAGAAAAGGCTTTTCTTTCGTATCCCGAACACCAATATTTTACAAAATTTAAAGAAACGAAATCAACGGACTTTCATATGACGAATAAAATTGTAAAGGTTTTTTTTAACCCTTTAAAAAGTATTCGAAGACCAAGTATGAAAAACATTCCTGAAAGTTTTACCCATAAACGTTTTTTCTCATGGAAGTCCAGCATTTGCAGCTGGAAAACGTATAGCTACATTTTTCTTCCTCAGTACTGTTATTTTCCTCCCATAACTTCATCACTATATCACAATGTAAACCTTTCGCTGGTACATCGTTTTAATCCATTCATGTGCATTCATTCTAATCGTACTGGCTAATAAATTATTTATTGCCTCTCTCAGGTATATTACGTGAATTAGAAAAAGTATACCAATTTCATTGATTAGAGAATAAAATTTTTTGAGATTCATTTGAAATTCAAAATGTTTCGCGAGCTTGGGATTGGGTTGTGGGCCGATTAATAGCACAGATTTGTGTCCGGACCAATTCCCGAAGTGAGTCGGAGCAGCAGTTTTTGGGCACGATTGTAAGGCATGATTGCATGGGCCAGAATTTCCAGTCTGGCGTCGGTGGCAGGTCAGCCATCAGGCACAGCGGCTCGCTGAGTCAGCAGGTGTGGCGGCAGTCGTCGTGATGAAGCAGAACGTAATAATGCGGAGGACTCGCGCCCTCCGTGACAAAATATTATTTCATTTCAATCGCTCAATGGAAACGCGTAATAAAATGAATAGGCATCGTGTTTACTTCGGTGAGATCCAAAGCTTTGCAACTGAAATTAAGTATAAAGCTTTCGCTCTTAATGATTGAAATTTATTCCATTTCAAATAACACAATTGAGTTAGTTGAAAATTCAACTACACCTCTAGTTGAGGCATAATACTCACATTTACTTAAATAAACTAGATACTACGATGGTCATGATGTTAAAGTAATCGCTCCGATTCGAACCCTGTAGCCATTCTCGCAGGAAATAAAAGGCTAAAAATGACATATTAAAGAAGACGTTCTCGTCAACACTCGTTTTTGGGAACACCGCCGGCCTTATTTGCTTTACAAATGGCAGCGACTCGCTGAGATGGATTGACGATGGACACAAGACGGCGGTAAACTCAACACAGCTTGGATAACCTGCTCCGCCCCAGCTGTTCTTTTTATTTCTTTTAGAATGGAACCATACTTAAAAAATAATTGACAATGTTACTGTTCAGTGTGTGATTATATAACGTACCAACGATAATATGAACAATTTGTCGTTAGAAAATATAATAAAGTATGTTAACTTCATGTATGTTTCATCGATAATGCAAACATGAATTTCATACTCAGAAAATTCGATTAATAAAAAATTCGCGTTTTTTAGGTTATTGCGAGAACAATCCAATTCACTTTCAAGAATATTTTACCTCGGTACTTACTTCCCTGAGCTCTAATACTTTTCATCGCCTTAAAAACAAAATCTCGCATTACAGAGTTTCTACATTTTACATCGATTTATGCAATTCTCTCGTTGACGCTAACAACTGCTTTTATCTATTGCTCTAAATTACCACTGGATTAATCAGTTTGCTCTATTGCTGCGTTTACCGCTTGACCGAGTTGGACGATATGGACTTCATTTCTGGGCGAGAAAAAGTATTTGCACACGAAAACCTTGACACTGAGTAAAGAAAAATCAGCTAATTACTCAACGAACTCTGTAATGAAACGATGAAATTTTGGCTCGTGATGTGACTCGTTCACGCGAAAAGCGGCTAATTAAGGCGTTTGAGTTTAGCGTTCATCCATTTTCTGGCACCTTTCTTTGAAGGCAGTTTTAATTTGAACCTAGATTGAGTGATATAAAACTGGTTGAAAATTATTGACATTCAGATTATTTCAAATAATTGTGTGATAATGTGCATGCAAAATTTGTCTGAACAGGCTTAAAATTATGATTATATTTCAATGCAAGTATGGATTGATTACAGTTATTTATATTTATTTTTCTTTTATATTCTATTTTATAGAAACTTAATTTCTTCCATTCTATTTGATTGTTCAGTGATGATCAACCGATCAGTGGGCTATTTGCACGAAAATCATTGGTAATCCGAGTAATTTACTGGCATTGAACAATAATTCCCTTTCGTGTTGAAAATATCCATAATTTAAAAAGTTCACGTGGACGTACTTAGCATTTTATCGATGACGGAGGGGCAACGAAATATTTTGCAGTGGCCACTGTTAGCGTATAACTCATGTGCGCGTATCTGTTGATTCTCTGTATACATTCTCTGTATACATTCTCTGTATACATTCTCTGTATTTTCTGTATACATTGTATACGTATCTGTTGATTCTCTGTGGCCCAGTGTTTAAAGTTCAGAGTACCAAGATTGGAGCAGAGAGGTGCGGGTTCGATCCCAGCTCTGTGCGCCAGTTTCTGGTCAGAATCGGCAAAAAGGCCGGGTGGTTAAGCAAAGAAAATTTGAAACAGCGAGTTGCGAATTCAAGCCCGCAACATGCTGTGGATTTTCTGCAATATTAAGAATTGGCGACAGGCCTGCGGCATAATAAACGCTTAAACCGCAATATTATTATATATTATATTATTCTTGGCCGGGCTTTAATATTTAGTGGTAGAGTCATGAGATAAAGGGGCAGTCGTATTTCTGAAACCAGGTAGCACTCGCTGAAACTTATGCGACGACGCTGTTGTATCAACTAGACTTAAAAGATTAGTGAACCCTGGGCAAAGTTTAAATTGCTTTTTATGGAACCTCCTTTTAACAAACTTTACAAAAGAGGCGTCGGCAATCTTGGGTATAAATGGATCCTAAACAAGAGGTGGTTAACATGATACGTAAGTATTTTGAGGTCGCGATAAAAAATTCAATACAGTGAAAGATGTTAAGTCCAAATATCGTGGATCAAATATTGACTTTTTGGATAGTGGATTGACTTTTCCCTATTTTTGGGATAATATTTTCGCAATTCATCGTGGATCAAACACTTCAAAATAAAGCGAAAAAACGTATATGGCACAACAATTTGTTTTTCCTTCGAAGAGAAACATTTTGGGTAGTTGCTGCCACTTGAAACACATAAAATGAGTCGTTACTCACGGGATATCCAATTTGGTCTACATTGCATTTTAGATGCGCTCGAGATACTAAAGCGTTCCCAATCTCATGGGAATTCCGAGTGAAGCATTTCAACAAATGAAGGAAAATTAAACAGGATCTGTTGCCATGCAGATCTGTTGCCTTGCTTTGACATTTGAGAACTGGAAAATACATAAATATATATTTTTTCTGATCAATGAAGATGATATAAAATTTTTATCAATTTGAAATATTTTATTGCATTGCCCGTGAAAAATGTGGATTTAAAAAAATGCAAAATTTCTATTTGAGAAAACCCGCTTATAGAGACAAATTTCTATTTGACAGAATGAGCAACAAGACATCCAAGCCATACGTCTCAGCTTCCTGTCAGAAACCCGTCCAGCAAAATAACTCATACGTCTTGAGTGCAAATTTCATCGCTAAAAATGGAACCTGAGAGCAACGAATTGTGCTAATAAACATTCGGCGCCCAGGATACCCAATTTCGGGTCCCGGAGCACAAACTTGTGGCGCCATCTCATACGAAGCTTCAATACGTTGCAGGAATGGCAAAAAGTCGCCGTGTCTGAAATGCGAGCGAAGAGGAATTGATTTCCAGACTTGAGCTTGTATTATCGTTTTTGGAGATATGAAATTTCTTCAACACAATATTAAATTCACGTTTTCACCAAAAGTTTATTGGAAAATAGTTGCGATAGAGGAATAAGAAAACTTGAAATATTTATTCGTGCAAACCTATTAGGCAGTGATGAGCAAACTCAGTTTATGTTGGAAGGTGCGGTTTAAATGTGACGTTCCAGTACGGTCCGCGGGCTGTTGGTTTCCAATATAACAATTTTGTTTCATTTCGAGAAATTCTGTCTGGAATAATTCAAATTTGAAAATTTATAACAGGAATAACTGATGAAACGTTCAGAATGCAATATAAATTTGTTTCTGCTAATAAAGGTAAAAACTATTTAGCAGAGGCAATTTACGATCGCATGTTATGTTATTTGAAATAATTACAAAACTCCAGTCGCCTTAAGATTGGTTTTTACAGTCATCTTCTGATGTGACAGTGAAAAATGGCCCTCCATGATGTTTTTATTTGTTTTCATACGAATTTAATATCTCTTGGACTGATTAACTTCATCTCGTTCCTCTTCGCTGTCTCTCTGAAGCTAGTTACAAATTAAGGGAAGTAATGGCATCATTCCTGTAATTAAATTCAATAATTGCTGTATTTCCTTATAACCAAAGTACTCTCAATAATCACAGCATAGATATAAATATAGAAGCGTCCAAAGTCACAACCTTAACTGGCTATATGTGCAAGAAATCGCGGAACTGTAAAGTTCCTGCTTGCTAACCTAAATTTTCCTTCACGTCGCGAGGTTTCAGGAATATT